CGCTCCATTAGGAGTGTTCCCAACTTTGATATCATTAATGATTAATGGTTGATAATCCTAACCCTAACCCTAACCCTAACCTAAATTACATTAAACCACAAACTAATATATGACCATGAACATATATATATATATTATATATATATATATATATATATGTATATGTTATTATGACCATTAATGACATAAAAGTTGGGAACACTCCTAATGGAGTATCACCCGTGATATCTCCGAGCATGACGTTTTACCGGAATTCATTTGGATTTTCTGTCCTAATTTTTTTTTATTCTCCACATTATGATCGGAGATTTGCCACACTGTCGTCACTGATACGTCCATATGTCCATCGAACATCCACCTTAGTTCTATGAAGGCCACACTGTTAGGGATTTTACAGGGGAGGTGAAAACGGAAAAGCAGAATGCAGAAGAATTTTAGAAATAAACGTCGTTTTCTCTCACGAAGACGTTGACAGCTCGGCGAATTCGTTCGATATCTCGCAAAATTGATGCCAGGTGGCTCTCATTTATCCCTTGAACAGTTCCTCCCTATCCGGCAAGCGAAAAGCGAATCGAGATATCATATAATGAAGAAAAAAGGAAATTGGGGGAGGGCGGTCTGACACTTTTCATTTCCTTCTTGGACGGTCGGTCATGTCTGGGGAGCGATAGGATCAGCGCGCGGTGTTGTCGTTGCTATTTTGTTAGACTGACTCTGACGTTATTGGACTGACTCGTTTTATGAGCTCGCTATCTGTATAACTGATTCAGGTTTTATTAATCTGTAAGTTAGGGTAAGAAGGGGCCCCAAATTAGCGCCGCCACAGCATCGCATCGCATGGCATAGCATCAACAGCATATATATATATATATATATATATATATATATATATATACCCGTTTAAGGAGAAATTGTTAAGGGAATGTATGACATTGATGGCATTCGTTAGATGGGTTGGTATCCGCGATAACACGCTAGTCCAGATTGGATTCACTCGGCTCACTGTGGCCACGGAACCATAGTCGGTGTAACAGTAGGCTTACTAAAAGGTGCGATGGTTGAAAATTAAATGTGCGCGTGAATAACCATCGTCGTAAGCGGCGGATTTCATTGACAGCATGCTGGACGTTGTATAAATATATAGCTAATCATAGTGTTATCACGTAGACGTCAATGTACGTGGATGTATGCCGTCTCGTTCTCCCTCCTACTTTCTCTGATTCTGTCCCCTCCCTCCTGCGCACGCGCGGCGCCATATTGCTTTAATATTATTTTTCTTTCACTAGCTTTATTATTTTTCTTTCTCGTTCGCCCTCGTGCGTCTCGTTTACTGTCTCTGACTCTGAATGCTTCCTCCAGCGCATGCGCGCCGCCATGTTGCTTTATTGACATCGCTCGGGAGTTTGCGCGCAGATGCCCCGTTACCGTAACGCCCCTCTATAATGCGTGAGAGATGCAGCAAGCGCGCATCTACGACTACTAGTGGAGGTTTTTTGCTCTCCAGTTGTTTTGTTGACATTGCAGTGCAGTGAATAATGTTTTCCTTGCGCGCGTGTGTGTGTGCGTGTGTGCAAGCGTGGTAGCTGGTAGATTATCGCAGTACGTAGGCAGATATAACCAACAACGGGACGGTGCTGCATGGCAGGTGCAATTAACAACAACCTTCGGTTGATGGTGGACACATTTCTGTTTGCGTAAGGATGCAGGTGTATATTTATTTATTTATATACATATATATTTATTTATTTATTTGTTTATTTGTTTATTTATTTGCA